TCGCTGTTCACCTATGGGATGTTGAATGTCTGTACATTACTGTCGATTCCTTATAATATCTATATGTGCATTTATACTTCAGACCCTGTTGGAGGAAAATTTGCCGTGCTGCAGCGTAGCGTGAACTTTTTGCAGTAGTTTGTGTTAGTTCACATGAGAGGAAGAGTCCTGAATAGGAGCGCCAGCAGCACAAAAAGGTGGTGTACCCGCTTCATCCTTGTACAGGTGTGAGACAAATTGATTTATTACTTGTTCAAAATGAATGAACATGTTTAAAAAGAAGCTAGCTGAGGAGCTGTGTTTTCTTAGGAGGAAGAGCACATTTTACGTGGGGCTGACATCGAGCCTGAAGGCAGATTCTGGTGCCTCTGAGGGCTGATTCACAGCGGTGTCAGTAGGACTGCAGTGGACACGCACCGTGTCAAAGGATGTTGGTGCAACGTTGGGCCGTTCGTCAGAAGGGTGGCAACCTTCAAGCTGGAGAGAAGCAGTATTCCTTGCTGGATAGGGCTGACTCATAGAATTAAACTGAGCATTCGGAAAAAAAAAAAAGCTTAAACCAGGCGAATGTGCAACAGGTTGTAGGAATGTGTATGTTCAGTGTATATAAGGAGGTTGACAGTTGTTGCTGATTGACTGACCTCAGCAAGCAGGGAGGTTGCAGAGGTGATATTCTTGAAACCTAGGCTATGGGTTGAAACCCTGTGAGAAGTAGCATGCCTTTACCACTGAAGCTCAGGAGGAGTGATACTCAGCTTATGATACACTTCTTGACTTCATTTTTCCATGTGTTTTTTTCTTGTTTTCTTCATGCTATGGCATTTAGTTTGACATTTTCAAAAGTACAATAATTGCGAACTGTACATTTTAACCTTAAATAAAATTGTAGGATGGCTTAACTAGGCTTCTGTGGAATTGATACTAGGTCAGAGCTGAGGGGGAAAAATAAGCTCTGTTTAAAAGCAGGCAGAAGATGACTGAGGAATCTGTGACCAGTGGTTGCGTAAAGTTTTATTCTGTATTGGAGCTGATGCAATAGCTGGTCCTTGAGACTGTGTGCAATCTTGGATTTTCTTTTTTCTTTCTTTTTTTTTTTTTGGCTACTGCGTCTTTTTACACTGTTAATGTTTCTTGTGTTGCCATGTGGACATTTTATTCTATTGTACTGTGCCGCTTAGCTTTTCCTTCCCTGTAACATTGTTTGTGTACAGTTTTGGGGCTTTGTATGATTTCTTTGAGGAGGTCTGATATCCTTCTGAGTTTGAAGATTTATGCAGATGTAATTGCTGACTCAGATGGCACTTGGTGACACTGCATAACCATTTAGGAAATAAAAGAAAACTTACAAATTTGTGAGGGAGGTTTTTGGAAGTCAGAGCGTAGCAAGGGCAGCTGTTGCCAACTAGTGATGTAGAATATACTTTTCTGGCTTTCCAAAGCAGTGTGCTATACAGCTTTGAACCCTCTTCAAAGGTGTCCATGGTGCCTGCAGCTAGGGCCAGCTCTGTGTGTTGCGTTTAGCTGCTCAGTGGCAGGCACTGCCAAGTTCCTACTGGGCATTTTGTGTTGTTTTTATAGGGTTTTTTTATACTTATACTGTGGGGAAAGTTTCTCCTGTATTTTCCAGTGTAGCTCTATCTTAATCTAAATAGGTGCTAGACAGATCTGATCACCTTACTCATCTCAGCAAATTTAGTTTGTGAAGTGGCAACCATGATGACTCCTATAGCAATGAGTATTGCAGGAACACACAGTTTGCACTGTTAATTGCTCAGGGATTGTACTTGTGCTGCTAACTGTATGTGTCTGAAAAGGAATGAGCAGCCAGTCCATATTTTTCCTTTTCCACAGAATACTGGATCACAAGAGTGATGTTACAAGTAGAATTTTGGTTAGCAGAAGAGGTCCTTATCTGCCTTGGATATCCTTTTTCGCTGATCCGTGAGAGATCAAGTACTGTATGTGGTCGTGATCTTTCTAGGATCAACCAAACAAAAGTATAAAGCACTATAATTTTCCTGGTTTGGGACAAATGTTCAGTCAAACTGAGGGAGTTTGATCCATCTGACTAAGGTAACTTGTTAAGGGGAACTTTGCATCTGGTACAAGGGTTTATCTGTTTCTTTTTGGGTTTTGTGGGGGTTTTGTGTGTGTGTGTGTGTGTGTGAATTGATCCAGGGGAAATAGCCAAAAAATACGTATGTGTTCATCTCAACAAGGCTAAAGTGGACTTACACTGTTTCTGTTACACGAAACGGGAGTTTTTTCCACTGCACCCAGCAAGAAGCAAGTAACCAAGAAGGCAGGAGGTGTTTTCTGAGCTTGATCAGCCTCAACTTTTCAGAATGGGTTCATGGGAAATTGCACAACATGGAAAGTACACCTTTGGTAATTCTTCAAATTCCTTTTATATAAAGAAGCGGAAAGGAATTACGATAGGATTTCTGTACTGTCCTACCTGATGACATTTGCAATTATGTAACTTTGGTTCTTTGTAGTCCTCTGGAGTTGAAATTCTTGAACTATATTTATGACAAGTGAGTAAGGTTTGAACACTTAAATTTTGCTTCTGTTGATATAAAATTGTAGGCTATGATGAAAACTGGCAATTAGCTCTGTCATCCTAGTGTCAGATGTCAGAGTCTCTCAGACCTGTCTTCAAAATGGGAGTTGATTCATGTTTTATTTGTCTTTCTAGTCAGTAGAAGTAAGAGCACGCGTTTGTTTTTTCTTGCACTGAGTTAGGTGCCAATAGTAGAAATAATACTTTGTGATTTCCTTTGGTGTAGATACACTTTATGTGATCTTTGGAAGCTATGTAAACAAACAAGATGAATTATATAAGCATTTAAGATTGAGTTACCCAGACGGCTGTATTGTGTTTTCATCATTCTTTTTTTCCAGGCTCACTCATATTCTTGAAACACGCTTCAGAGTTTCTCCTTGCTTCAACTCACTCACATCATTTGTGGGGAAAAGGATCTATAATTCCCACTGACAACTACTAGATGGGGTTGGGAAGCAAATTCCAAACAGAGACACTTCTGAACTCTCACAAAGTTTGGACTAGAGACTTCAAGCCTGTCTCATTGTTGAAGAGAGTCATATTTGAACAGGGAGCTGGTAGCTGAACAAGTGACGAGAAATGTGTGTTCGTCTTCACAAAAATGAAACTAATTTATGAAGGACCTCAGCTTCTCCTTTGCCTTTAGAAATCCTCTTCTGTAGACATTCTTTGCCTTTGTTTTCCCAACCGACCTTCTCAGCAATGTTTCTGTTTTGACATGTTGCAGCAGCAGATCAGATAGTCTTGCTGTTTTATTCGTATTTTTGGGCATCATCTTTGCTGTCAGCCTATATTCATACATAAAAATCCTGATAGCCTAAACTACCAGATTTAGTAGAGCATACATCTGCATCTTTTAAAAATGATGTTTGTTAAAACTTGCTGTTTTCTCTTGGACTGTCACTCCACTGGCAGTGTCACAAACTTAACATGTACAAATAAGCCGGTGTATATAAAATAAGGAGATCCCCGCTCAAAAAAAACCATGGTGGTGATTAGTAGAAAATCACAGAGCCAATTTAAAAGAAAAATAGGTCAATGTGCTGACTGTGGTGTGGTGGGTTCACCTTGTCCAGCAGCCAGACACCCACCCAGCCGCTCACAAACTCCCTCTCCTCAACAGGATAAGGGAGAAAATACGACAGCAAGGCTCGGCTGTCAGGATAAAGTCAGGGAGATTGCTCACCAGTTACCGTCATGGGCAAAGCAGACTTAGCGTTGGGAAAATTAATTTAATTTACTGCCCAATAAAATAGATTTGTGTAGTGAGAAACAAAGGCAAATTAAAACAACGCATTTTTCCTTCTTCCCAGGCTCAGCTTCAGTCCTTCATTTCTGAGTCCTCTCCCTCCCTGCCCACCCTGAGCGCTGCAGGGGGATGGGTTTGAGGGGCATTGGAAAGCACTTTGTGGTGCCAAAACTGAGGTTATCTATTATAACTCTGCTATAGATTCATATAAAATTAGCAAAAACTCATACCACACATCTTTAAATAGCCTTGCCTTTGCATGCACATACATACCTTGCTGTTCCTCAGAGCATTTATTTATTGATGACGGCTTCGTAAAGGCGAGAGAATTGGATTATATATTATGCTAAACGCATTCGCGTATTACTGTTGTTTCACTGTACTGCTTAAGCTCCCAATAAGAATTTTAATTTTGTGTATATTTTTAAGAAACATTCTTTATTTTCAGGTAAAAGTTTGGAAAAGTAATAATTTCTTTAATTCTGACAATCTAGTCTATTTAGGATGAACTAAGAAGAAATGTTATTTGAAAATGGAGCTTCACGCTTAGCCTTTTCCATTTGTGTTTTCCTTTCTGCAGAAAAAGGATGCACAGAGATAGTTTCGGTGATTATAGGAAACGGATGACAGCACACAAAGCCCTGTCTTTATATGCACTGTGGTGTTTTGATTTTTAATTAACGGTGTGTTTTGAAAATTTCAAAGCAGGTCAGTAGAGGGGTGAGCTCAGACAGTGTTTCATGTCAGCAAGTGAAAATGGAAGAGGGTCGTCTGCCCCTTATTGTGTGTGTGAGGGGTGGGGGATTGTATCTATTTATTTGAAAAGTTCTTAGTTGGTTTTCAAATGAGTTAAAAAAAAAAAGAGGAGGAAAACGTTATCTAATCAAAGCTGCTCAGTCAACTAATGACATCAAGCAGTAACCTTCTCTTTCTCCCCGTATTTCCTTTGGACTATAAACTATTTAACACAGCTAAAAATTGCCTCATCCATCATAGCAGTGTAGCCCTTTTCTGTGTTCCTCTACGTGGTGGCTTTATCAGCGCTGGGCACGGGAAGGAGGTGAAGAATAATATCCTCTTTAACTGAATTTGTAGATTGGAATGTGGGGAGGAGGAGGAACAGCCCGTGCTGGTGCCCCTCCAGTGCCCTGGGTCGTCAGCCTCCTGCTAATGAAAAACGCTGTAATGACTGCACCGACCAGGTGCCTGCAGGGTATGAAATACGCGTGTTCGCTATTGTGCTTGCGTCTAACGTGGATTTTGAGCTACGGCGGTAACTTAACACGGGGACACGACCTGCACGTGGTCTTGCTCTGTGCTGACTTGACTGCTGCGCGCGAGGAAGGTGAGCTCCGCCTGAGCGCCTTGGGGGGTGAGAGCGCGTGTCAGGCGTTAGCGTGGGGAAATAAAAGCACTTCTTACCCTGTGGTGATTTGTTCACGTGACCTTGCTGTTAGAAAGAATAATTTTGCCTTCTGATGTCATTTTCAGCAGCACATCACTTTTTCCTGCTGTTTCCAGTAAAAGTAATGATGCTACTTAGGATGTTCAGAGGTGACCTGGTGTGCAAACGGGTAATTAGAGCAGGTGTAATTTTAAATTCTGGTTTTGTAAAGAATAGTGTGGCGTCACTTTTCTGAAAGGAAAGCTGGTAATTGTCCATTATTTAAAAATTAGCAGTGAAATTGCAGTTGGCAAGTCCTTGCAGTAGCAATATTTTTTTTTTTTCTTTTGTTGCTTGTGCTAGTCTAGAACACAAATGTCATCGATTTCTTTTTTCCTCAGAATATGGCGGCATGGGCTTGGACTTCTCATATAACGTTGCAGTGGCAGAAGAGCTGGGAAATATCCGCTGTGGAGGTATTCCTATGGCTATTGGAGTGCAAGCTGGCATGGCTACTCCTGCTCTTACAAGGTAATTTTCAGAAAGTTTGGTTTAGGCCTAACCTCCAATCTTTATAAGAGTAGAAAAAAACATTACTGTACAGATTTACTGTCTAGTTGCTCTTCAGTAATGCTTGAGGAAGGAACCTACTCTCTACCTCTCTCAGACAGTTTGGTTTAGGGGAGAAAATACATATTTTTTTTTAATGTTAGAATATTATCTTTTAAAACATAGGTCATGTTTAGTAGTAGATAATACATTTACAAACACAGAACCTTGGTGCCACAGCCAGTAAAACAATTTTAATTCTAGGATCCTCTATTCGTGTTTGTGGTTTTTCTTAGCCAGATATCCCAATGCAGTCATACTAAGGATGCATTTAGTTGTAATGATTAGGATCAGTCTAATTCTATTTTATAATTTACTTGCTTTTTTCCAGCTTTACAAGGCGCTCCTCGCTGACTGTGACTTTACAGAAATAATGGTCAATATTGGTGTAAGTCCTACAGTTGTAGCACATGTATCATGCTTCCAAAATACGCTCATTCCAGGCAATTACTTGATTTTCTTTTTCTCATCTGCTTGTTTCAGTGTTCCCCTTTATCACTTGCTATCATTCAGGCTCCTGCACTTTCTGAATCTGTTTTGTTTTGTGTTTTTTCCCTCCCTCAATAAAAGTGGCAGTTACCAACTTCTTTTTCATGTAGTAGTTTCATGGACATTCTGCATGAAAACAGCAGTTTGCAAAACTAGAGGGAGGTGACAGGCTGGTCCAGCAGTTTTGCCCTGGAATATGGATACACCTAAGATTCTGGAAGGTGGTGGTGGGGATTAAATTCAAGTAATGATGATGACTTCAGGAATTTACCTGCACAAAACAGGTATACAAGAGGGGAATTTTTGCACAGAATTGCATTTTAGGGTTGGGTTGTTTGTTGATCCCTGCCCCCCTTCTGAATGAAAATGCCTGTAAATCCACTGTAGAGTCCAGAATGTAGGCTCTGTTTCTTTGACAGTCATTTGTCCTGCTAGGTATGTGTGACTTCGGAGGTCTCAGCCATGGGAAATCTTTCTAAAAGTTTTCTTCTCCTTTGTGTAATACACCAAAAACTTTCTGAAAGCGTGGAGTTCAGTATGTCTGTTGCAACAGTGACTTCTGGTCCAACTGAGAATAAAACTAGTATTTTAAAAGACGCCAGAGAACAGTACCTTACCCTCATGATAACCTTTTATTCTCAAGGGTTTAAAAAAATCTGTGGGGAAAAGAAGATGGGATTTTGTTCTATTGCAGGTTTTTTGTCTTCTGTTACTCTGTTCTGCTGTAGTAAAGCAGTCAGGCTACACAGATTTGTTTTAGTGACATCCTTAAGTGGATGTTCTTAGAAAGTGAATGTGAAAATGTCATTAACATGATGAAATCTGTAATTGAATTTGCATCTGTTTTAATGAACTTTTCCTCCACAGTTAAGTCAATTCCACTCACTAGTTACACAGTACAGTGTCCCACTCTTAAAAGATGTAAAATTAAACTTGGTAATGAAAAGAGAAAGCTGGTTGCTAGAAGAAATTTTGTGCGCGTGCAGCTTTATTTTATGCAGTATAGTGAGAGGGCCAACTGCTTGTCCTGGGTCATGGATTCAAATTCCATTCACAACCTAAAAGCAGTCTGTGTACTGTGGTGATCCTAAACAAGTTCAAAGAGATAATCCAAATTTTGCGTCTTAACTATGCATTGTTACACATGATGCCTCAGCAATGCACACAGTAGACAGTAGTATGGGAATCAACCATCATCCCCTAAAAAACTTTCAAAAGGAAGTCTGGAGCCCTTTCTTGGCTTTCCTGACTTTGGGCTTTATTCAGCATTCATCAAGCATGTACTGAGTGCACCTGCAAACAAATTCTGCCTGTGATATGTCATGAAGATGCTCTGTGCTATAAATTAGAGGTGTTCCCTCAATTAGAGATATAGACAGCATGGTAGTTTGAACAGGTGGATGCACAGAGGCACGTGCACACACACAGAGCTTTTTACATTTTAATACTTTTGAAAAATAAAGTCTTAAAATTTAGTGGGCTTGGTGGTGTTGGGTTAACGGTTGGACTTCATGATCTTAAAGGTCTTTTCCAGCCTTGATTCTGTGTGATTCTGTGAAAATATCTAGAGTCAGGATCCCTCCTAATGCTGTTTCTGCAACTTGCATGCATTTCTTGCTTCAGTGAGAGGCTGTTGCAAAGCTTAGTTTGTGAAGGTCTTTGAGATACTCAGTTAAATGGGAAGTACATTGTAGTAACAGGTTTAGTTACATAAACTACAAAGAGCATAGAAAATTTGAAAATGTTACCTGTATCTGTTTGCCTGTTCGCTGTTCCTGCCACTTTCCTCTTAATTCTTTATGATTTTTTTCTGACAACCTTCAGAAAGTTAAATTTATGGTCCTACTTGGAAGCAATCCTGCAGATACTGATTTATATGCATTTCTGTTGTGCAGACAAATATAGGAGAAAATGGGTTTTTATCACTTGAGGATGCCCAGACTGCTCCATTTTTTTCCCCCAGATTCCTCGAAGTGAAGCGGTAGCACTTTCTAAATTTGTGAACTAAATGTGAAATGTTTTGTCAGTGATCGGACCTTTGATGTGCCTGGTTCTGAACATAACTCTCTGTCAGGTCTTTCAAATGCATTCAGGTAACACTATTTCACTTGCTTTCATGCTTACAAGTAGAGTGGAGACAGCAGCCCTCAGCTGAGGCAGTGAATGACATACATTTCCCTGGGCTTGTAAACCTATAGGGTGACACATCCATAGTGGTCCCAGATCAGTGTAGAGCTGCTTTATCTTGGCAGTAGGCAGTAAACTTTCCTTTATTATTTTTTCCCCTATTATTTATAGAAAAACAGTAAGGATAATGATGATTATTTGGTGGGAAGAGAGTGTTTTTCCATTTCATCAGCTTCCTCATCACTGATTCATTCTCCACCCTGAACAGCAGCATATCTGAGAATTAATGTCAAAAAAGTTACTGCCTCTTTACCTGTTTGCTGTAAAGGGGAGAAGCTGCAGCTGGCAGTCAGAACAGCACTTTTGAAAAGCAGGATCATCCACTTGATTAGCTGGGAGAAAGGTGAAAATCAGAAGAGATCATTCAAGAGCCGAGTGGCTTTCCCACTGGCGTAGCGTAAGGGAAACTTGGTTTTGTGCTTGTCTCACTCTCTCACGTACGGTACTTAATTTGTATAGCGCGCGTAAGGTAGGCCAGGTCTTGCCCTGAGCCAGAGCAGAGGCTGTTACAGGTGCAGCTTTCAACATATCATTAAAAAAAAAGTATCATTAAGCATTGCTGTCATGATGGCTAGTGACATTACATCCATATCCAGTTGTGCTGCTTTGTGGTTTCGAATACCTGGTCTAACCTGTCCAGAGCAATATGGTGGGGCAAGATGAAGTCAAGCAGCTGCTTCTGAACTAGCTTTCCTCAAAACAGCTTCACACTGTTCCTAAATCTCTGAGGTTTCTCCAGCTCCTGGTCACAGCCTGGCCATGCTACGGTGGCAGGTTGCCTGGTGGGCAGCCTTGAGGTCTCCAGAGCTGGTGTGGTAGCAGCAGGACACCAGCCATGTGAGCAGCTCTTAAAAACTGCATGATCTGAAGATGGTGATCTTTAATATGACTCGTATTTTACAATACTTGCATTTTAGTGCAAAATGCATTCCTAAATAGATAGAAGATTGACATAATCAGTCTTAATCAAAACCCTTCAGGTTGTCTCATCTGTATGAGGTAGTCATACCCATCAGGTAGTCTCATACAGGTTTCTCATCTGTATTCTTTTCAGAACGTAGCAGTAGCTCAAACTGAGCAATTTATCTCATAAAATCTTCAAATAACTGAAGCTTAAAGGCTTGATAAAAACTGGGAGCCAGAGCACTTTTCTTACTGCTTTTTTCTTATGCTGCCTTTCACAAAAAGTAAGGTAAGGTTTCTAAATGTGGATTTTTTTAAACTAGCATGTCTTCCTATCTGACTGAAATAGGGACTCGAGAGAAAGCTGATTGCAGTGTGGATTCTTTTAAATGCAGGTTATGTAAATTACTGAACATAATGAGGCTTCCATGCTGCCCAAGGGTGCTTGCTGCTGTTCACCATGCATTTCTAACCCTTTCTGTGCCTGTAAAGAGCATCTCTTCCCTTTTGTTCTTGCTTCTTTTCCTGTATCTTGAAGTGCTCCAAGGGGTACTGCTAAGCTGGATCTGGACATCAGATGGTAGCATGCCCATACAGGACTACACTGAAGCAAAAGGGTGGCACGTGGCTACTGTATTATTAATAGTTTGAGTCTAGGAGCAGAACAGAAAGAGAACTGGGAGAAATTCACCTCTTGCTAATACATGAGAAGGAAAATGACAGTAGGTCAGTTACTCTCTTTGCCTAAAGGAAGTCTCTATATTCCTAGGAAGTCCATGAGTAAACTATTGTGTCATCTTTGAGTGAGATACTGTAGAATAAAGATCATCTGAAAACTTACCTTTTTTTCTTTTTCTTTTTTTCTGCTTTATTTTTGCTTTGGTGGTGAATAGTACTTGCATATGTACTTTTTTGCTCCAGTGCAAAAAAAGCTTGAGTTGATCAAATGCTGATAACCATGGTAGAACTGTCAGCAGCTGTTCATATTCAGAATTTCAATTTACACTTAGTAGTGTATCATACTAGCGTATCCGTCAGTTCGACCTCAGAACTTTCCATACTAATTTCATTAATTCACTTCAGCTCAGCTTTTTTCCCCAGAAGCAGAGGAAACAAAAGTGAATAAAATCTGTGGTTCTAACAAGATGATTATCAGCCCAATTAAGTCAGAATAGTGATGTGTGCTAGACATATTTTCATTCAATGTAGCAATCTAACCTGTCAGAAATCAGATTTTTACATATATTTGAGATGAATAAAGGTGACTTAAAATTTCTAATCGGCAGAGCACATAAACAGAACTATGTGGATCGAGGAAGTGTTCTTACATCTGTATTTCGCCATGGTTTTATTTTCCTTTTACCCATCATTTACAAAATTGTTTACCATTGTAATTTTTGTGTTCATGACATTCCACCAATGTTACTTATAAAGTGTGGAGCAACAAAGGATGGACCACTTTCATGCAACTCTTAATGTGTCAGAATCTCACCATTGGGACTTCTGGGTTACCCAGCCTCAACAAGGAGCTCTGGTTTATTGACGGTAGACTCGTGTGTGTGCGTGTGCATATGTGTATACATACACACATGCATGAAAATATATTTGGAGTGATGGTAAGGCTGCACAGTTAATCACATGGGAAAATATGCTCTAGGGTATGGCCCCGGCCCAGAAAGCAGGCATAGTCTGATCTGTCTTGAGCCAGAGCATGAGCTCATTGCAAACAGAGTTTTCTAATTCTGGAGCTCTTAAACTGGAAAGAAGTGGGTATTGCACTTATGCAAACCTGAGATTTTTCTGGAATGGGTTTAAGATGGGTAGAATTTACAGAAACACCATATTTCTAGCACAATAGCTAGCTGCTTGCTGAGCTGCATGTCCTTCCTGCAAGGCATAGACACCCATGGTCTTCTGAAGATAGTGTTGCCAGACTTTTTTTTTAATTGCAAAATAACTCTTCTATAGCCTCATTTTTGGGAAGAGCTGAACTGTTTTTTGGAACTTAAACAAAGATATCAAACCAAAAACATTATTCTGAGAAAAGTTTTTGTCATGGAAATTCTCTGTTGAAATAACTAAATGTTGGCAAAGTTTTAAGCCAAAAATCCCTGGTAACTCCTCTCATAATCTGATTTTTCATGTTGTTGCTTGGGTGTTTTTTTGTCTAATGAATGTTCAGCTGGCCGTACTTGATCATGTCCCAAGGAAAAGAAAAAAAAAGTACACTGCATAGCAGATCAGGGGACTTTGTCCCCGTTTGCTGGAGGAAGGAGTAAACACTCCAAGCTCGCTTCTTGTATTTATTTGGGATTGGTGCCGTGATTGTTCTCAGCAGGGACAGGACTAGGAATTGAGCTCCTTGGGTGCACAAAGCGAAAGTGTCTGCCAGCTCCCACTCTGTTCTCTGGCCATTGCATGTCCTTTGACCGTTTTGTGTCAGGGTTGGAGTGGAGGGGAAGAGTCAAGAGTCTTAGCTAAAATGGCATCGCTCCTTTGGAAGTTCGGGGACAGTGTTTTAGGAGGAGGACCCAGGTAACTGCAGCCTGCTTAGGCAGCCAGCATGCCTAAGGAGATGAGTGGAGATGCTGACCTGAGAAGCCTCACACCGAAGAGGAGGCTGAGGAGGAACTTAACTTTTATGGATTTCTGCTCACAGAAGAGACATCTCTTGACCCCGGGAATTTTTTAGTCTGGCACAAGAAGTTGTTCAAGAACTAGGCTACGAGCTCACCATTCACACTACAAGACCAAAGCAGTGAATGTTAATTAGGACAAAATCAACCGTGAAATGAGATGGACCATTGTTTTGAATCAATGAAGGCAGCTAAACGTTGATTAAAAAAAACAGGGTGCCTCTTCACTGACTTGAAATATGGCCAAGTGAATTTTTTGTGTTAAGATGCTATCAGCAGTTTGCTGTTTCCCTTTTTATTTTTGTGGGGACTAAGGAAAGGCTGGAAAGAAGCACTAATGGATTTCACTGTGTGATTTAAATGCAGATATGAAATATTAATAATGTAAATACAGATATTTGCAGAGGGTGGCCATCACATGTCATAGCTTTTCAGTCACCACTAAAACCTGGCAAAGAGCTGGTGTGAAAGTCAGAAGATAATGCAGAGAGCAGGTCCTCTATCCTGGCTGACTGCAGACTGATACAGGAGCATTAAGGGGAAACCCCAGGGACCATGTTTATTTGGATCTGATAGCTCTCAAAACAACAGGCCGAAAGATGGGATTTTGGGCATCTAGACCACATGTTTCTGTGGGAGTAAGACACCTGAGTACCTGTAAAAGCCTTGTTTAAAGTGATTGTGGCTGCGTTTCTGGTGAAGGTTCTGAAACATAGTTTGGAGGGTATCTATTTCATCTTCTGCCTCTGGGATGGGTTTCACCTGTCATTGGAAAATTGATCACTGCAGGGGTAGAACAAAATTTGTAAGTCACTTCTAAATAAAGTTTACCTTCAAAAGCTTTTAATATCCTACCTTTTTCATTATATTGTTGCAGGTTTGGTTCTGATGAGTTGAAAAAACAGTTCCTCGTACCAACTATAGCTGGAGATTTCGTGGTTTGCTTGGGAGTCAGTGAAGCTGGAGCTGGGTCAGATGTCGCAAGTAAGTTAACCTAGCAAATTGCCGGTTTTAGACAGCCTGGTACGTTAATGGAAAGAATCTGGCTTCCCTGACCCTTCCCTTTGCCACTATCATTTGTAAGAAATATCGAGGAAGGAAAGTCTGGTGTGGTGAGGGCAAAAAGTAATCCAGAGGCAGCACCTCTTGCCTCCGATGCATCCAAAAGCAATCAAATTGAATGTATTTTTCAGTGAATCAATGGCTGTAACCCTGTATGGGCTGAGCACAGCAGATAAACATGCAGCTGTCATGTTGGCCCTGGATTTCTCCTAGTGTTTGCCCTGCTCTGCCTCCCCTGCTCTGTCCAAGCTCACCGTGTAGTTTCACAGCCGTCATCAGTTGTGCAAACCTGCAAATGTACGTGATAGGGTGTGTGGCCCGTTCCACTGGCGCTTCCTTAAAGCAGACCTCTCCAACTGCAGAGCTAGTCCATTCTGAAAACGATGGCATCACACTTTCACAATGGGTTCCTCTCGCTCATTCTTACTTCACCTCAGCCCCTTCCGTCATTCCTGTGCAGCAGAAATGTCGCTGAACTGGTGACTGTTTTATTTACAGCTGATGAAGAATTTGCTGTGTCAAAGCTATTAGCTTTGTGATGTAGTTACTTTGCGTGCAACTTGTTTTTTCTTGGTTTAGTGCAAGATATGTTTAAACACGCGGACAAATGAAACTCTTATTCTGAAGTGCCTGAGGCCGTAGGTAATTTGGACAATTAAAACAGATATTGTAGAAAAAGGAAAAGATATCTCATCTGTTTGTGAGTTGTGGACTTCAAGGAAGAGGGAGTGACAAGAAAACACTTTTAGAGGTTTTGCTGTTGGACACAGGGTGGCCAAGTTGATTACATTGTGCTCTTACAAATTACTGTGACATCTTCCTGCAGACAAAATCGCAGAAGTTTTTTGATCAGTAAAGCAGAGTCCTATGTCTATCTCCTTGAACAAGTTAGAACAGTGTTAGAGCAGGGGTGCAGCAGGTAGTTTTCAAGAGAGTTAATGGGAATAATGAAATAATGGGACTAAATCTTCCTGTGTGATCCATTGCTGTTTTCCTTAATGTATTTTGTTCATAAGAAAAATGCCATAATTTTTATACAATTGTTTTTCATTAAAATAATTTCAAATTTGAATTTTTCTAATGTAGGAAATACATAATTTACTTTAATTAATGCCTCTCTAGGTTAATTGGATGATTATCAGAACTTTCTAAATATGATTTAAATTTTTTATGCAGTGTGCCTGATAATAAGTAACATAAATATTTTTATCTGCATATTGCTTATCATCTAATTTAATTGGAATGATACACTTGGATTAATCCAGTTAAAGAAAAATTTGGAATCCACTAGAATTATCTGATGGACCTCTCATCAAGAATTCAGTCTTTCTTCTTTTCTGTGTTTAGGTCATCTTCTCTGAGCATGAAAAACCAAAATTGCACATGGTGTGTATAATGGCACAAATACTTGTCCAACCCTAACAGAAATGTTACCCTCCAAATATGTACTGTTACACAACAGTTTGCTGGCTTGTGAATCTTGTTGCTAACTACGCAGATCATCTTTATTAACTGTTCATTGAAATATTGTAAGATAGAGCAATCATTACTTTGTGCCTAAGTACTTGTACTTGCCATGTTGAATTTGAAGACTCAAGGTCATTCCTTTCTTGCTGGGTGATACCTCAGTTGTCTGTGTTGCTGATGTCTCCCAAGTTTATGTCGACAGCAAATTTTAAAGATCATTAATGAAAATATTGATAGGTTTCATCCAAAGGCTCACGTTCAAGGAGGAGCTCCAATAGTACCCTCCCTGTGCATCAGCACTTCTTCTTTTAATGCAATCTGATGCAATTTCCCCTTTGCCAAGTTCCTTACTGACATTTCCACTTTTGTCCTAATTCTTATCTTTTCAAAACTTTTAAGTGATCATTACCTAGCAAGATAATATTTTAGTTTGCTTGGGTCCAACAGGATTTTTCCTATTCTGATTTTTCTCTAGAAAATCCATTTTTGTAATAAACAAATCAAGTTGGTTTGAAATAGGATACCACTAGTAAATTGAATTATCTTTTCTTTCCAAATGTGTTCTGAGGCTGTGCAGATTGCCAAAGGCAACAACCTCTGTTTTCACTATTTTTTAATTTCTGTACAGTCCTTCTTTTAGATGTCTTGCTTTGTCGGCTATATTACAAACTTTTTATAATCTGACGTAAAAAATTTCTTTAGTTTTGAGGCATCCTTTATATACCTCATATTCTTTTCTCATTCTTTTTTAATTTCTGTGGCTGAAACATTTTTGTTTGCCGCCTCAATCTTCTTGGATTTTGTTGGGTTTCATCTGCAAGACTTAACTTAGTTTGACCTGTGGCAGTTCTTACCTTCTGACCTCCAAACTGTAGCTTACTTTGATGATTAATCTCTTTCCTTTCCTGTAGGCCATCTCCTGTTTTTTGAAGTTTTGGGTTTTTTTTCCTGTGATGATGATGTAAGTTCTAGATATGGTCTATTCATTTTTGTCTTTAAGGAAATGTGTTGCCTATCTTTAATCATAAGATTGACCCTAAAAGTTGAAGCCAACCTTACCTTTTGTCAATTCCATTTGGATGCATGGCTGGACTCAAGAGCACAGCGGAGAAGAAAACTTGAGTCTCAAGTACGTTGTGATTTGAATGGTGAGATGACCAGCCCTGGTTGCTTATATGGCACTCGCTAGGTCATATACCTTTCAGTGATGGCATGTGGCCTTTCCTGGAAGGGACCCTCACAGCATGCTCTGGAAGCTGTTGAGTTATAGACAACACAGGGCCAGTGGTGTGGACCTGCCAAAAATGAGTTATGGAACACTCACTGAAGTAGCCTTTTCCCAGAGCTGCGCTCTATCAGGGAGAACAATTACAGACAAATTCCTAAGTATCTTCATAGCCATATCCCTGAGACTGAGTCCACTTGACTGTACTAAATTAAGTAGGTTTTCAAAGCCTGCTGTATTTTAAACATAAAGTTTACTTATTGACTTGGTCATCTTTCTTCTAATTAAATTTAAAGAGAATCAACTCTTCATAAGTTCATTTTAAATAGTCACTTCTCAAGTATTTGAAGCAAACTGTCAACCATCACGTTTGGGAATACTTGAACATTTCCATTAGTAAGGCATTTGTTCTTTAATCTGTATTTGGGTGCTTAATCCCCTGTGATGCCATGCTTGCAAGAACTGTTTACATTTGTGATAACATCACAGTGCTTATTGTTCTTCTGCAGACCTTCCATGGGGCCCCTATCTAATCTCTTCAGTAGCTGTTCCACAACAAAGGGATGTGTGATGCAAATTGCTGTGTGTATGTTCCCATTCTTTTCACACTGCTTCAGTACAGTGTCATATTTCTTATTCCAGCTCTTCATTTATTATCATAAATGTGTCCTTCATTTATTATTTCGTCTCCATGTATATGATTGTGCAGTGTCTGTGTCCATGTATTACGAGCATCAGTACTTTAGATTCCTTTGGTTTATTGCCCTTCATTATTATAAAGATTTCATATCAAGGCCTTTGCACAGATTTGGCATAGTCTTTTCATTGGCTGAATCCCTGTATGGCTACTGTTTTTATCCACATTAGTACTATCTCTTTCACTTGCTGTTCATCATTATCCTAGGTTCCTTAATCCATAGCTATATCAAATATTCCTTTGTTGTATACAATTTTCTCCTGTCATTATTCCCCAGTTCCTTCATTAACAAGACTTCTTTTCAGCTATGCTGATCTCAGTTCCACTTTGTCTTGTAAATGAAGATCAGATACTTGGTTTTGCTTTGTAAAAGTTTTATGTTTAGAGCCTTTGGGAAGAAGGTTCATGTGCAGATTGGGATGGGTGCGTACGAAGGTATAACCAGCTGACTTAAATTTGCCTGCCTGCTCGGTGTCTGACTCCTACCCTCCAAGTCTACTTGCTTCCCTCAGTAGATGGCTTCTTACAGACTTTATAGTCTCATTAGGTTTAGAGGTGCTATTAGGGGCGTGGTAGGGTTCTCTTATACCATCACCTACTTATAGCTAGATACCTGTTGGAGAGTCTTCCTCAGTTGGGGTTTTAGTTGAAGAAGTTCAATTTGGGGGAAAGAAGCCAGCCCTTCAGAAATTCTGCTGCAGTGTAAATAATAACTAATGATTCACTCCCGTCTGCCAGTTGCAGCTAGGGCTGCTTGCAGCGTAACAAAAATAAGATTGTTTTTGCCGGGGGCATTAAATAGCAGGTGTTTAGAACTCCTTCATGTACAGACATTCTTAGCATTTAGACATGGTCTTTTGAAAGTTTACTAACTTGGAATTTATTACGCCATTCTGACCAAGAACATGCAGGAAATGCGTGTATGTATATCTCTATGCATACACAGATCTTGAGGCTTACGTTTGTTTAAGTCAGGACTCTGAAATTAATGGACTCTGAAATTAATCAGTGACTAACGTGCACAGTAACAGAAATGTGTAATGTATCACTTCAGACTGAAGTGTTTCTGGCCCGAGTTTTTGACGACCAAATTTACTTAGGGAAATTTTTCTGCTTCGTCCACTGGGATGAAGACTCCACCTAAAGGAGGGCGAGAGAAGTGGACTGGTTTCCCTGGTTTGCCTTCCAAGAGTCATCCAGACGGGTCTGCCGTGGAAGGGTTAGAGGATGTGGGGGGCATGAAGGCATGACCAAATATTAGTTGTCCATCTGAGATCAAGGGAGTAACTCTGCCAGTCTTAAAGGGACCAGCTTATCCCTCCTTCACAAGAATAACCCTTCATTTCCTATGTTTTGAAATAGATATCAAGACGACAGCTGTGAGAAAAGGCGATGAATATGTCATAAATGGTGGTAAGATGTGGACTACGTCTGGATGCCAAGCGGACTGGATGTGCCTGCTGGCAAACACCAGTGAAGGACCTCCCCATCGAAATAAATCTCTCATATGTCTGCCAATGAATCTACCTGGTAATAACACAGAGCTCTTTCTCTTCTAATTTGATTTTATTGTTGTTTTTATGTATGCCCAATGCAAGAAGGAAAGGTGTTTGACAGAAAGGACTGCACCCATAAATGGTCTCCTAAGTTAGGTGTTTCACTGTCATACAAAGCTGGCTCTGAAATGCCTTTGCACACTTCCACAAAAAAGTAGGGAACAAGAGGAAATGAGAAGGAAGCTGAATATTTTGCAGACTTCAGCTTGTGAGTCCCAAGTAATTTTATACGGAGAGTCATTGTCACCAAAAATAAATATATAAAAGTTGTTCACACACATTTGTATGGGAATATTTCATAATCTTCTGTGAGAGTGAATAGACAAGACGATGCCAAGGACAAAATTAATGCCTCAAAGAAATCATTAAAAATGCAGCCAACATTTTTTTTTGAAAATTATAACATCCAGTGTCTTTTGGAGAAGTTCCACAAAACTTCTATCTTGGTTTTCTGTCCCCAAAAGGCATGAAGATGCAAACAGTCCACAAAATAAATAACGTATTACTCTATCTACATAGATCTTTGCTACATGTGAACTATATGTAAAATGTTCTTAAATTATCTTTCAGAAATAGCATTAAACTCAAAATTTCCTGTTTTGTATGAGGACTGGTGAACAGAATATACACTTCTTTTTTCAATGAATGGAGGAGATTTTTAAGCTTGTTGTCTTAATTCTTCAGAAGATATTGAAAGTGATTCTCAAACGTGAAAAAAAAAAATTATAAAGAGGTTAGAGATTTCAAACTTGGGAAATACCTCCCAAAATCATCTTACCCCACATGCCAACACCTGCCTCCCAGGAGCCCCTGGACAGTATCTGACTCAGTTTAGGGTGGGTTTGCTGACCCGCTGTATTGAATTCTAGAACGATGCAATACTGTGCTGTGATTGTATTGTGTGGGTGGTCCTGATTTTCCTCTGATAACCGTCGTCCATCGCCCAACCTGGTGGGCTTGCTAAAGACAAGTGCAGACATAGCCAGGGTGTTTCATGGCTGTGCTCTGCAAAGGGATATTTTTGCCAGGGCACTATTATCATTATCAGTTTAAATTACAAAAATAATCTGTGAGTTAAATGTGGGTGGAATGAAAGATTCAGAGATCTTGGAAGTTGGAATTTGTTTTTGAAGAAGACTAGTAATTTGGGTGAAGACACTGAAGAAATGCATCCTAATCTCAGGGTGCAAGTTTCAGTGGTACAGTCCACACAGTGTCTGTTCCTGGGTAATCTGCAGACCTTGCAGCACAAAGGACATCATTCAGAGAGGGTACAGTTAAGCTTATGCTGGCGGAGACCTTTTGCAGTTTTAACACCAGTTCAGAAGTTTTTAAACCTTTTTGATTTTCACTCATTTTAATATTTTTAAATTATGTAATATATTAATTTATTTAATACAGAACGTATAATATGTTCTAACATAGATTTTAAATATATGACATCTATTTAATATATAATAATGAGTATTAATTCATTTATGTATTAATATAAAATATTAGAACATATTGCTTTTTTTCATTCAATTCAGAGTATTTTACATACGACATATATGTCATTATCAGCATTTCACATGTAGGGGCACCACCATGGCAGTGAAGTGAGGGTCCACAAGCTCACTTAATTGATCAGACTGAGAACAAAGCCCAGCTCTCCAATGTTGCAAAAGAGTGTGACGAGAGCTACTTAAGTGAAATTGTAAGTGAATTTCAGTATGGAGTAAGTCAAGCGAGTGAGTGAGTTGCCTTGGGAGTTAAGCAAGTCCTGAGCAGGTTGTGAGTTTCTTTAACCTCTGCTCATGCAAGTCAGGCTTTCAGTGGGTGCTCACAGAAGATGGACCTGAGCTGCTTCCCTAGTTGTTGACTTTGTCCTTATTAATGAGAGATGAGCGAACACGGAACTCAGAGCCAGAATCTGCCTGAATTTCCAGGTTAAACTCACTTACCAGCCATCTGCTTGAAGGCCTCCTTGTGATTTGTCATGAAAGGGTCAGAGTGCAAATGCAACACCACTTCTCTGAGATCAGTTTTCCAAAAACAACAAAGCAGCCAACCCACTGTTAGAGGCAGATCAAATACAGAGAAGTTGACTCGGAGGTTTTCAGCTACTTTGCTTATTCCAAAACCTCATGTGAGTCATTGTAGCTGGGGCAGGGGGGGCATTGTTAGGGCACACAGCCTATGCACAGACCTGCTTTACCTGCGGTAGACAGATTTGGAGTTGCAAAGTTGCCTGAGTCACTTCAAGCTGATCTGCAGAAGTGTAGAAGTCTTCCTAGAAACAAAAAATTGCGCTTCTCAAAGTGTATATGCTTTCGTTCTTCTGTGTGATACAGATACTGACCTCCAAAAGGGTCACTGTACCAAGATTGGTGACCTTTTGAAATAAAGTATAAAGACAGTGGATTGTGCTTCATGGGTGGGTCATATCAGAAATGAGATTTTTCAGGAAGACAAAGAGGGAAAGTATGAAAAAGGCTGCCATTTGACACAGATGTGAGGAGGAAGCTCCAGCTGTTTTGACACATCCTAAGGATGTCTGTCTGCCAAAGATTGTGCTCCTTGGAGGGCAGCAGACCAAGACTGTACAGGAAGTGTCTGGAGGACATCGGCGGATGATGCGCTACCAAGCGTCTGTAGATGTACGTGTGTCAGAGCTCAAGAAGGAGTGCAGTGGAGAATGAGTGTGTTACGTCTGACGAACTGCTGCAGTCGCCAGCCTATATGGCGGGGTAAGGAAGGGATCTGTGGCGCAGCGGTAGCTCATTCCTTGCTAGCAGCTGGAAGACATGGGAGACTAGTCCAGCATTTTTCACAAAAATCTCAATTGTTTCATGCTTGTATGATGTTGTGATAAAAGAAAAAGGGGGGGGAAAAAAAAGTTCCAGGTCTGAAAGTGAATTATTAATTTCAACAACTGGTAGTTTATTGGAGATATGAACTAGGATTTGCTTCTAATTTTAGGTGTGTACAGTGTCTATTCTGGGGTGAAGCAAATCATGGTCCGGACTGGGCAGATGCTGCTGAATACATTTCTCATAATGGGAATTGGGATTATGGCAGTGTGGATTCACAGGAGATATTCAGATTAGGTGAATACTCCTCATACTAACAATGTCTTTTAAAAAAAAGCTGAATTTCTCATATGATGACAGAGAATCTAACAAGTCATAAAATGTGTGTGTGTGAAAGATATATAGACAAATGGCTTGCAGCCCTAATCTGTTAACTATTTATGCGCTGGTTTGTCCTCTGATAACAATAGGGTAGATTGCAAGGAGGAGATAATAAGGAGAAGAGCATCCAGAAAAGGGGAAAGAGCATGTTTCTCAGGTTGCAGTTTAAAATGTGCTTCTTTCCATTTGTAATGGCACTAAATGGTGTCAGGAGAGAGTGACTGTCTTTCTCCCAAGATAGAATATAGGAAATAAAAGAGATTGTTAGAAGGCTGGAGGAGTGGGAGAAAAAGAAAAATGAAAGATGCCTGGGAAGAGCTGCCCAGGAAGAGATACAGCAATCCATCTCAGTGATACTGGTGCAGGTAGCACAAATGGCTCTGGTTTAGAGTGATTTTTAGTAAGTCAGGCGCTGGGCTTGCTAGATTGAGATTTGTGTGTTAGGGGATGGCTTGTGATTTATTTAATACAGACAGACTCCAGGAGTTACCTGGACAGGTGATTTCTACTGCTGCTGGTAATTTTTAGTCTATAGTACCCCTTCTGAAGAGAATGAAGATAATTAAACTAAGCAAAGGAACATTTTGATGCCCGTATTGTAGTCAAAGAGATGATTATGTATCATTGTCTTCAAAAAAGAGAAAATGTAAAGCATGTGCTAGCAACAGAGGAGGCACTTGAGGCAACATGAGGCTGATGCAGTTTGGCCTCCTGAGTGAGAAGCATCTCAGATGTAATCTAAGAGCAAGTGAAACTAGTACAGCACAACAAAAGGGGGATGCTGCTGGATTCAGGAAACTTGAACACACAACCCAGTCTGGAAGAACTATGGATAGGTACAGGTACGAGGAAAAATCAGGATAAGCTAGAAAGGGGGGGATGAATGTGGAAGAGAGGGAAGGGAGCAGATTTCCAGGAGGAGAAATTCTCTAATCACAGCTTAAAACATAGCTCTGTTTTTGTCATTATTAAATATTTCTCTGCTGTTTCACAGCAGTGCAGGCACTCAGCAAATACTGCTAAATTGGATTCCAGCATTTTATTGTAGTGCAACTAAATATCGAAAACAGGCAAATAAATATTGCATTGTTTCAAGACCTACCTACTACTAGTAAACAATTATTATTTGGGGACATACTGAAAAGCGGGACCTTCACAATTGCAGTTTCTGATTTGCTAGTTGGAAAATGGGAAAACTCGTAAAAATAGGATGTGGGCCACATTACTCTTAAATTCCAGAATACTGTTATGTTTTTCCTAAAGGTAGGTTTCAATGTAGTCTTGGCACATACCTTCACATCTGCAAACTTAACTTTCTTAAAATGCTTGACTTGTGCATAGTGCTTCTGTTTTTTGTGGCCTTTCTGATACCTCTTTTTCTTCAGGCATTCATGTTGCTAAAAAGATAGACAAACTGGGCATGAGGTCATCGGACACAGCTCAGATCTTTTTTGAAGACGTAAGGGTCCCCAGAAAAAACCTCATCGGTGAGGAAGGAAAGGGTTTTACATATCAGATGTTGCAATTTCAAGAAGAGCGGCTGTGGGCAGTAGCTACTGGTAAGTCATTGTTTGTCCTTCTGGGGCCGGGCAGGGACACGAGGGTCACCCTTTGCATGACTAACAGTACTTTCCTTTCGTTGTAAATTGCAATGACCTCTTACGATCCGATCTGTCATAGCCTGGATACAGACAACCTTCCCTTTCTGTAGAAAAACTCGAAATAGAAAATATTTTGTGAGGCATCAGAGGGGCAGGTTTTGCCTTGTTTCTTTTGCTTGGTGCTGTTCTGCTGATAAGAAAATACGGCATCATGTTATGTCTGCTACAAATCTAGTACAAAGGCTATCAGAATACTGGCATGACATAGAAGGATGGTGACTTTTCCTGTACTACAGTAAGCTATGATGTTTACCCTGGATTTTAGAAAATTAACTTAGTGGCTGTGTAAAGAAGTGGCTCTTACAGAATGTAAAAGCTTTGTTTTGCGGATCTGCTTTACCTCTTATACGCTTTAGACATAAGTGGTACAGCACAAAATTCCTTTCCCTGAAGTTACGCTGTCACGGCGTTCCTGTTACTCTGAACTCAGACGGTACTTGAATCTGCATATTTGAGTTATACAGATTCTGGATATTTCAGGTAACCAGATCCAAGTCTGGATTGTCCATTTTCAGCCTCCTAACCTTCCCCCCCACTCCACAGTGTTTACTTCTTCAACTTAAATACAATGTGGTTCACTGTAAGAGGATTGGTCCTCTTTACATTTCGGGCTGGTATAAATATTCTCACCATATTTGTGCTCCTGTGCATACCCTGTCTGTTACTGTCTGTGTGTGGCTGGGGAATCGGGAACGCTAAAAAGTGATTTCCTGATTCAGTGACTAAATAAAAAAAAAATCGCTCCCTGTTGTGGGTTGATCCCAGACCAAATATTTCAGAGTTCAGATGCTTTTAAAAATCTTTGGTTTGGGCCAAAATTCTTAGTTCAGCCTGAGATAAATAGCAAATGTGACAGTAGTTTTAGCAAAGAACAGGAGGTTAGACTTGCAAGGGATGCCACTGCAGACTCAGGCAAGGAGGGGACATGGTCCTACTGCTGGTCCTGCTTTAATCAACGTGTACACGTTGGATTACACAAGGATGTGCATTGTGCATTTTTGTGCTCAGTTTGAAGTCCAAGTTAAACAAAACAATCAGAAACTCTGGGTTACAGGGATACTCCCCAGGCAGCAGAGTAGCCTGCGGCGTTAGTCATGCTCCAGGCAAAAGTGACGCGCACTGACAGCATCAAAACACAAAGCCTGGCAGGTTAGATCACTCCTGTTAAAACCACTGGCAGCTTGGTACTGTCCAGCCTTGCACAACTCTCCAGCGGTCACCGTGCTCTGCCAGGAAGTGGGACACCAGGTTTCAATTCTTCTTTTTGCCCAGAACACCACAGCAGGAGCAGGCAAACCCTCGCCCTGGATGAGCCGTCTGGGAAGGGTATCTTTGCCCCCCCGCCATGGCCAGGCAGGGGACATCAGGGAGGAAGAGCCTCAGAGCTCACCAAGCTCACCTTGGAGAGGGAGCTGCCTCCTGCAGCGCGGTGGCCAGTGTGTTGTACCTTGCTGGGCCCTCTGGTTTTGCTTTTATCCGCTGTCCGATATAAAACCCGTGAAAGCGCGGGGAGCAGGGACAAGACCTGCTTCAGAGGGGAGCCAGGTGCTTGATGGATGCAGTTTGTTACACCACGACACCGAGCCGTTAACTTCCCATCCTGTAAATGGGTTTACGTACGTTCAACCACAAGCGTTTCGCTGAAGGCTCGGAGGTGCAAAACTACATACGTGCCTTCAGCAACCTGGTGGTAAGGTCTGCATGTGTAACCCTCGTCCTCACTTCTGGCCCTCAGGAGGACATTTCTGTTCCTTCTGAGTTCACGACTATTCACGTGACATTGAAAATCATCAGTCTGCTTTTAAACACTTTGGGGACCAGTTCTGGCATCCTCACTTTCGCTGCTTCCTGAAACTTGGAACTGCCATTCTTTTCTCTCTTTCTTTTTTTGGCCGTTGTTCTGTTTTGTTGTGTTTGGGTTTTTTTGTTTTTATGTATTTTTAGTATCAAGTATCATGTGCTTTGTTTATTAGTATTCTCTTTATTCATTAATTATCTTCTTTGTGGCCAGACTTCAGAATGTGTGGGGAGCTGGCTTCCTTCACTTTTTTTTCCTTTTAAAATGAATTTTGAGTCAAACAGTTTTAAAATATAAATGGAAAACTAATTTCCTGGAATTTCAAAATTTTGTCACAGGTGTGGTCTTTCCTTCTGAGTGACGCATTATCAAAGGCATTGGTAAAATTCACAGTGTTCCTTGCTTCATTGAAAGTGAAGAGCTGCCACGTATCTCTCCCATGTTGTGACACTTGGTAACACCAGCCATTTGTGGACCTGTTGCACTGATCACAGGAAAAGAATGTTGCTATGGCAAGAAAGCAAACAGTTTTTTGCGAATTGCTTAACTTAGAGGCAAAGAGGGAGTTCAGTGTGTGTGAGAGAGCAGAATGGCACTTTTCTAATGACTTCTATCTGCTCCTGGAGTCTCAGTTTTATGAGCACCATTGAGTCATGGCCAGTAAGCAGGGTGACAGATCCTTTTACATGGGCAATGCACATCCTTAGGAGACTGCGCAGCTTGGAGCTCACTGTACATCTCACTAGAGAGTGATCAGCCACAGCCTGATAAAAATATATTGATTTCCTTTTGTTTTGAGAGGAGGCATAGCAAGGCAAAGTGATTGTACAGTTAGCAGAAGTTTCCAGTGGAAAAATGTAAGTTGGATGGAGGTACAATGAAAAGATTATTTTCTCTCTGGCAACTTCCAAGTGCTTTCACGATTCTCAGCTGTGTGGTAGACTATGCGTTCCTTAGGCTGCCCTGGAGTGACATTTCCTGTATGTGCTGTCATCAGTTGAAACCTGTGGGGCCAAGATTGAGGATGTGGAGAACGTTATGTGACAAAAGAGGAAACAAATATACACCAAAAAAAAAGTTCTGAGAGAAAATGAGTTTCACTGTTAAGAATGGCATTTCTCTGTACGTATATGACTGGCAAAGTATTGTGGTGTTATGTTGTACAAGGCTGTTGGCAGTCATGGTATTCACAACATGCTGTGTTTCATTGCTGTTTGCTGCACAGCCAAGCTTTGCCGTATTAGAGCTATGCTCATAGCTCTAAATACCTGTAGTCATAGCGTCACAGAATGGTGTGGGTTGGAAGGGACCTTTAAAGATGGTAACGTCCAACCCCCCTGGAATGAGCAGGGACATCTTCAACTAGATCGGTTTGCTCAAAGCCCGTCAAACATGACCTTGAACACTTCCAGTGATGGAGCATCCACAAACTTCTCTGGGCAACCAGTTCCAGTGTCTCATTACCCTCATCATAACGAATTTCTTCCTTATGTTCAATATAAATCTACCCTCTTTTCAGTTTAAAACTGTTGTTCCTTGTCCTGTCACTACAAGCCTTGGTAAAAAGTCTATCTCGGTCTTTCTTATAAGCCCCCTTCCAGTATATAAATCGAAGGCCACAATAAGGTCTCCCTGGAGCCTTCAGTTCTCCGGGCCGAACAACCCCAACTCTCTCAGCCTGTCCTCACAGGAGAGGTGCTCCATCCCTCAGATCATTTTGGTGGCCCTCCTCTGGACCCGCCCCAACAGGTCCATGTCTTTCCTGTGCTGAGGGCTCCAGAGCTGGATGCAGGACTGCAGGTGGGGTCTCACCAGAGCAGAGCAGAGGGGCAGAATCACCTCCCTCGACCTGCTGGCCACGCTGCTTTGGATGGAGCCGGGGACTGTCCTTAGAAGATTTCCTCTGTTTATTTCTGTGTGCAAATGGGAATTTCAGGAACAAGCAGAAGGATGGTGATGGCAGCTGAGGAAACAGGAGGATGGATGAGCGGAGTCATGGGGCAGGAAGGAGGCAATGAAGCGGGGAGGCAGACACTGTGAGAGCAGTTTTCTCAGACTCCCCACTCCCAGCCCTGATGCATGGTGACAGCCTGAGCAGAGATGGGCCAAAATTTTTTGTCCTTTTGTGAGCAGGACCCAAATAGGTGCCGTTCTGTTCCTTCCCACACAGTCCTGTTCCTGCCTCTTCTTTGCTCTTTCCCGTTTCTTCTTTCCCTGGTGCTTGATGCTGGGAACCACACAAGCTGTGCTGGAGCACCTTGCTCTGACAGACGAACACAAGATTAATCCCTTGTTCTTACCTCTCCCATCTCCCTTCTGCTCTCCCAGCACTGGCATGTACTGTTTCGTTTCCCTCCCAGCAGCTCAGACCGATGCAAAAAGGAATTGTTTAGTAGTCCAGGGCTTGGTTGTATTTTGCATTTCAGATTCACAATGAGGGTGGTGAAACACTGGCACAGGTTGCCCAGAGAGGTGGTAGATGCCCCATCCCCAGAAGCATTCAAGGTCAGGTTGGATGAGGCTCTGAGCAACCTGTTGAAGATGTCCCTGCTTATTGCAGTGGGGTTGGACTACATGCCCTTTAAAGGTCACTTCCAACACAAACTATTCTATGATCCAGAGTTTTGTGGTTTAGATTCTAAATGTGAATGGATGTGGATATGCATATTTTGAAAAGAGAAAACGTGGCCCTTCTCACACAGACACATTTCCCTACTGCTTGCCGTAGTGACATGGGTCCGCATTTGCCAAACAAAATTCTCCACAAATTCAGCACCTGCTGTTACCCTAGCTAAGCTGCAAGAGACTGCTGGAGCCTAGCCCTTCACTTCACGGCTGGTTTGCCTTGGAAAAGAAACTTTGCCCTTGTCTTCTTGTTTAAAACAGGGTGTCTCTAAGTTTGCTCACAAAGTAGGAGCTAGTTCTCCTGCTTTAAAGCAGTGTCTGCCTTCTCCCTCACCTGTCTTCCAGCAGTATCTTATTTTGATTCTGTTTCCATTAGAAGCACTGATTAGCATTTACTGAAAGTAGCTGTGAATCTTAATGTTTTCCCCTTCCTTTCTATATGAGGATCTGACCACGGAATGCAGATGTAGGAAGCAGTCTGTTTGCGTTCCTTATCTCTGAATAGGTTTCTGCCTTTTTGTTCAAAGTTTCCTTGACTATACATTTCTACAGCATCCCTCAGTGAGCACACTGTCTGCCTTCAGATTTTCTTTCAGGGTTGTAACAGACCTTCAGGCACAGGTAGCATGGAAGGCAGGAGTTGCCACAAGCGTTTGCTAGAGCCCCAAATGAGGCATTAAGGATAAAGTTTACACACTTGCCATTACATACCGCTCTCTTTAACTTTCCTTCCCTCCTCCCCACCCCACCTTCCCTCTCCTCTGAGTTTCGGCGGTTTGGGGCTCAGCTGAAATAGGGATAAAGAGGTCTTCAAAGTACAAGGGAATACCAGGCTTTTTTTCAGAATTGAAACTGTGCCCCCAAACTGAGCATACGGAATAATTTACTTTAGAAAACCTAATGTATTTTTTTGTACGAAGTGAAAAAAAAAATCTTTTTCAAAAAAAAAATCTTTTTCAACAAGAAGAAAAGCAACATATCTGGCTAAAATGATGTCCTGTCCTGTGCTTTGCTTCTTCAAGTCCTGACACCGCTGGAAACTGTTATACAAGAAACTATTGACTACACTCGCCAGCGGAAGGTGTTTGACCAGTCCGTCCTGCACAACCAAGCCGTGCACTTCCGCCTGGCCGAGCTGGCAACCGAACTGGAGCTCCTTCGCTCGCTGCTGTACCGCACCACTGGTGAGCTGCCACATCTGCCTTCCCAGATGTGCTTCTCTTCATGCAAAAAACGTTGTCAGGCTGAAGGAACATGGGGAGGCGATTGCCAGGGAGGCAGGCTGTGATCACTGACTCTGTGTGTATAACTGGGCTTTTTTCTTTCTTTCTTTCTTTCTTTTTAAGCTCTCTATGTGGAAGGCAATGATGTGACAAAGTTTGCTTCCATGGCTAAGCTAAAGGCAGGTCGTCTGTCACGTGAAGTGACTGATAGCTGTCTCCAGTTTTGGGGAGGAATGGGATTCACCAGTGAGGTTCTGGTGAGCAGGCTTTACAGGTAAGCAAATGAGTGGTGAAAGTAAGAATAAGCTTTACTGAAATCTGGCCTTTTAAATGTCTTGCTACAAGATCACCCACTGAAAAGGGCACTAGCTCCTAGCTGATATGAATGGTATTGTTCTGCTGAGCGGTGCGTCACTGATGGACGTTGCGGGTGCCGGGGCACCCACAGTCCCATTGACTTTGGGGTGACGTGTGTGAGTGTCAGGACGTAGGCTGGCTGTTCCTTTGCCAAATCTTGGCTTTGCATTACAACTGTCCAGTTTGAACTACTCACAGGTTAGCTTGAATGTCAGGTGAAAGAAGTAAACTCCGTCTTTTCCCTGATGGTCCTCCAGCACATGCCAAGCAATAGGACAAGGCAAAAAAGGGGAAGCTTACCAACAAGTGATTTTGGTTTTTTTTCCCCTTCTGCTCTTTGTTTGCTTGTAATCTTGATTACGGGAACAGAATTACAGCAAAACCGCAGCTTTCTTCAGAACCATGAGGGACCAACAAAAATCAGCTTCATCTTTTTCCCCATAACTCCAGTTATGGATTAGTCACAGCAGATACTGCGTGAGATGTACGAGAGATGTTTGCAAATTAAGTCCCATGCCAAGCCTTTGCAATTTTACTGTATAACTACTTAGAGCAAAATTCTGTCCAAGCAAACAGTTTTCCTGGCAGCTGTTGGGAAAATTCTGGCCCTGGTGTCTTATATTCTGTAGAAGGGACAAAGTGGAACTTACATTTTCTTGTAGTAACAGGTTTCAGTTCAGCCCTTATATATATAGGATGCCTAATCAGAGGTTAACAAAATTAGTGGTTCGGTTAGTTGAAAGTTTTGGTAAATGTATCTGTGCAAAGTGAGAGCAGAACACTTTAAAAAAAAAAAAATCTGTAAAAAGCTTGTTTCTTCTTAGTAGGTTGAGTTAGTTTTTCTATTTCTAACAGCATTTTATGAATAAGAATGCTACTGTGGTAGGTCAGAGAGATCCTCAACCTGTTTTGTCTTGTGGATTCAAGAAATTTTCTCATGAAGGTACAGACTGCTGTATGGTGGTGGTTTTAAGCTAGCTGTCAATATGATGTTTTTTCCTAGTTTTTTTTTTACAGCCTCTTTATTAGTAGCTCATGGTCCCTGATAATGCAGATGTTAAAAGCTGCTGCAAGTAGGCACTCTGAACAAAATGAATCCTTGTCTTGAAGTGCTTACTGTCAGTGTAGTAATGTGTACAGATTAATGTGTATGTGCTTTTATGGAGCTTTGATTTGTCTTTAGATTTCCTACCCCAGTATATTACTGCTAACTGTGGGCAGTGCTTTTCTGCGTGAATTCCAGAGTGGTTTCTAAGTACCCCAGCAGAGTCACATTTTTCCTGAGAAAGGCGGAGTATTTCCGATTGGTATAACTGTCAGCTGGCTAAAGAAACATATCTTTCTGCCTCTAAAACAAACACTGTTATAAATGAGGCTAAAGATGGTGTGATATCTATACTCTAAAATTTTCTGTGAATCAGTAAAATTCCATCATTGAGTAACCATCAGCTCCAGGAAGGGGGAAGTAGAGTATTACCTAAATAAGCAATTTCAGGTTCAAGTCAGAATCCTGTTAATCTGTAACGATAAGCAAAGCAGCAACTTTCCTAAAGCCATTCTTTTTTGTACAGCAGTCTGAGTAACCATTCACGTCACTGTGATATTTGTCAAGTAGCAAGCGGCATAACTGCACAGCATGACATCTAGCCATAACGTACGAAGATTTTTGTAGCATAATCCTTACTAAGTTTCCAAGGAAATGTTAGTGTTTGACACATGTCAGGCTGTTACTTCTCAGAGAGCACACAGCGTAATGCATGGTTAGTGCATGAAGTCTTTGAATTTTAGTTATTAGCGTTGGTGGGGAGATAATAAACAGACCCGGCACAAGACTGTCAGCCAAATGTCAGCCATTTATTCACATCCATCATTTGAATCACTAGTCTTTCAAACTTTGTAGAACAACTGACTTTTCTAAAGTGCAGTATTCTCTAGAATGTGTAAAAGATTGCTGTTTCACCATGTAGGTCCCTATACGGGGCTGATTTTATACACATAAATGTCTCATTTTCAGTTGTAGGGATTCTGAGAAGGAGAATCGGTTTGAAAAAAGGTTTTGACCTAAATATCAAAAGGTTTGATAGAAAAATACAAGCCAATGTAAAAAAACGGTAAGAGTGGACTTTCCAGACTTTACCCTACTAGCAGGATTCTGGAGAAGGAGAGCGCCAGACTGGAGTTGTGTTTGTTTATTTTTCCCCTGTATGAAATGCCTCAAAGCCATCATGACTTAGGAAAAATCAGTTATTAAACAAACCCACCATCTATATGAAAACCCCAGGCTGTGAGAGATCAGAGGGAGGAAAACGTTTTGTAGCAAACATACTGCAATTTTTCAGACTTCCTAACATGAGTTTTAAAAAATTTCAGGTAGGGTTCTATATACTCTAATAGTAATTATGTACACTTCAGTTGTTATATGAAGAATTTGTCTGGTGGTCTTAAAAAAATTTGGGTTTTTTTGAACTAAGATTGTTTCTACTAAACACTGTGTCTAACTGCTGCCAGTTCTTACAAGTTTTACTCTTGTGGGGTGTGATGGGGAGAATGCTGTCATTTCTTTACTTGCTGCATTGTGAAAGACTCGACAAAGCAGTAGAGAAAAATACTGACTACTCATGTGAAATAGATAAAGTGTAAATAGCATTGCAAATGCAGATAGCTGCAGAAAAAAACCCCAGATTTCTTTTTTCCCCCTCAGCTGTCACCTAGGTATTGCAATATGAAGTTTTATTTGTAATTCAGGATAGTTAAAAATCAAACTTCTATACAGTTTGAAGTGGAATTTTTTTTAGTAAGTAATGTGTTTCCTTCTTAATTATATTTGTATTCCTCACATGTTTAAAAAGTCAGTTGAAATACTTTATTTCATTCTTTATTTCATTTTTTTATATTCTTTCATTCTTTACAAAGCATGTCTAAACTAGAACGAGCCTAGACAACTGTTGGGTTTTTTAATCTGTCTTTGTCATTATCACAATTTATGGTTGTACCAAATGAAACGAAAACTATCAATTTCTGCTGACAAAAACAATTTGCTCTGAAGTCAGTAGCTAACTGTTGGGACAAGACTTAATAATGATTCCTCAGTCATCTGTGAAAACAAATCCATAGTTTCAACCTTTTTCTGCAGAGGTTTTGGGACAGATGCCTCTCTACCCCTTTGGTTGATTTTATGAGTACCTTGAGAGGGAATTTAGGAGATGAAGCACACGACATCCAGCTCTAATATGGCAAATCAAAGTAGGTAACTGTACGGTAATGACTTCAAAGTGGAGCTACGCTCCAGAGCAGGCCAAGGCGATGCCCACTTCTGCTCAGCTGTCCCGTCAAAGTGCCCCTTGGGGAAACGGGCAGGGCCATGCGAACTGGCCCGCACGGCTGCTGGTGGCCGGGCTGTGCCAGCCTGGCCAGGGACCTGCCGCGCTGGGTGGTATCAGCTCAAACTTATCCCTCGGGATCAAAGCCTCCTTTAGATGATGCTTAATTTGGACAGCCTATAAGCAATCTGGCCGAGTCTGAAGATGGAGGAAGGCACAAAATATTAAACTTGAGGGTACATCAGTATATTTTGTGGAGAAAAATCTTGCCAGTAACGAACCTTAAAACAAAAATTGTGAGAAAAAAGGGTAAATGTTTTGTAATCAAGTGCAATTTGTGCTGAAAGGAAGCAGTGATACGCTGAGCCACATAAACCTTGGGAAGGATTTACCAATGGCCTCCTAACCAGGGAAGCAGGGAGCAGCATGTTGGGCTGCTAGGGAAAACCAGAGCTGGAGTCACCAAAATTTGCTTTCTTCCCTACATCTGACCGGCACTGACCACTGCTGGAAATGGGAAAGGAAATGACTTAGTTTATTTTCTCAGGACTTTAAAGTTATGTGAAGACATCTGCATTGAAGATAGGTAGCGCAGCAGGCTCCTCTCAGGTTGTTTGTGAACAAAAAGGGCTTTTTTAGATCCAAACACCATATGGCTTTCAAGAGGAAAATGTAGCGTAGAGCGGCTCCCCGAGCTGGCACGGCTTCTCAGCTGCCGGTGGTCAATGGTAGTGGGATGCACAAATGCAACCACCATCACATTTCACCAGCTTGAGGCTAAAGACATATTTAGTGTGCCATTAGCTGCGGCTTCAGCACCTATATAGCATATTACAAGGTCAAAAGTTTTCGGCGTGCTGTGAGATAGGTACTTTCATGGGTAATGAAATCACAGGCAAGGGAGAGCTCAGACTGGAGCAAGGGCCAGCCCTGATTTTAAGGATAACTGAGTCCAAAAGGTGTGCAGGCAGGGTGATGGACATGTTTTGGCTTGTGCAAAACAAGGGCTGAATGGTGCTCTGGATGCAGAGGGGTCAACACCAGCCAAAAGAGGAATGTTAAACTGAAGGACTGTACTACTCAGGAACGCATTCAGGATGTAAATTAGAGAGTTCCTAATCATTAGAACAACTTTATATGACAGCCTTCCAATTAGGATAGTCCAAGATTAAAGGGAGCTTGTTTCCCCTCCTTAAAGCAGTGCTTGATACATTTCTGAAGGAGGTTATATGGCATGGTACCTATGGAGTTGGGAAACTTGATTTGAAGACGTGGAGGGTCCTTTTTGTTATGCTGCCTAACTAGAAATTATTAATAATCTGGATTGTTTGGTGGGTGGGAAGGGCTCCTCACTCTCCCTCATAAGTGCAGTTTTTTAACTCAGCAGTGAAGAAATTTTTTTTTTTAATCCATCATAAAGTGGATTGCTTTTTAACATTTACATCTCTTGATTTGGTTGAGCAGAGTAAGTTTTATCATTGACAGTGGATGTTTCAGGTGCATGGGATTTCCTGAATGAAATTAAACTCTTTGCAGGGAGTGTTTTTAGGGGAGCAGAACACAATGGTCAGGATTTATCTCTTTCCTCAGGCAAATTCCCACTCTCTAAGGAAAACAGCATTCAACAAACAGCTAGAAGTTTGGTCCCTCAAAATGACACCTTTACATGACTGTATGGTGTGTTGCAGGCTGGTTCCTCACTGTCCTTGGTCAGGCTGAAGCCATCACAGGCCGGTGCTCACCTCAGCAGGGCTGCAGGTATCACAGGACGTGCTGCTCAGTCATGGGGGCAGCGACAAGGCGATGGAGAAATCAGAAAGCAAAGTGTTGGCTGTGCCAGGTCAAAAGCATTCCAGGGGTAGTCTACCTAAAGCAATAAAATTCTAATATTTATATATTAAAATATTTATATGCTCTATAATGCATTGATATAAACTATCAAACCATAAACTTCGAGAAAGTAGCTGATATACAAGCTTACTTTACTATGTCATCTTCCCCAGCTTCCTCACAGAGTTCCTGGCAGGATAGTTAGTCTCATGGTTTTGTTTTCTTATGCTGAAGGCAAGTCTCTTTCCTAGCAGAGGGCCGATAGATTAAAACCATTCTAGTCCTTTGTCATCTTGATCCTCTTAAACTACATGAAACCTTCTGTCCTGTCTCCCCTGGGGAGAGATGGGCATTAGTCACCTGCCCGTAGGTTCTGTAGGAAATACTCCGTATCTCACCCATGGAGACAAAAATATAATCACCAGCAATTTTGTAAAGACACACACATGTACATGTATCGACATACACAAAAACAAATGTGAAAGGTGTTTTGTTTTTTTAAAACATGTATTTATATGTGATAACCTGAAATGTCTGTCACACACCACTGAAGCCAGATCTTACCACTGCCTATTTATAACTTCATATAAAAAAG